ACGTTTATCTCCAAATTTATAATTGCTGATGCTAAAACTGGGATTCCCCGAATATCTGTTTGCTTTACAGTGAACGTTGCAGACATGGACGATTTCGTTAAACCAAGAAAGGAGATAAAGAGATATAGAGGAAGGGCCCAAAGATAAGTAGATGTAAAATAACATTTACATCTCTTTCTATACAACAATCTTGCTAGCGGCAGTCCTTGGTATGTTTTTGTTATATGGCATCGTTTTTCCTTAGTCAGGGATGTACATGTATATTTTCAAACACAAGTGAATTCTTTTTTTATTAAAGGCTTTTTAATAAGATTTTATCTATTTGAGATAGAGCGAGAGAGCAAGAGAGAGCACAAGAAGGGCAGAGGGGCAGAGGGAGAGGGAGAAGCAGATTCCCCATTGAGCAGGGAGGCCAATGCCGAGCTTGATCCCAGGACCCTGAGATCGTGATGACCTGAGCCAAAGGCAGACACTTAACCAACTGAGTAACTCAGGCAGGAGTCCCTTTATTAAAGATTTTTATTTATCTGTTTGACAGAGAGACAGAGAGAGCGAGCACAAGCAGGGGGAGTGGCAGAGGGAGAGGGAGAAGCAGACTCCCCCCTGAGCAGGCAGCCTGATGCAGGGCTTGATCCCAGGACCCCGGGATCATTACCTGAGCCGAAGGCAGTTGCTTCACCAACTGAGCCACCCAGGCGCCGCAAGTGAATTCATCTTGATGAAGCACTGAAACCATATTCTTAGCACCCTGTCCTTTGAGAACACTTCCTGTTCACCTCTGCTGCTTCCTAGGACATACCTTGGGTCCGTCCCTCTGTTACATGTTTAAGTGTAGATCCCTCTACTCTTGGAAGAGGTGGGGCCTGTGTTTGATCTTCAACTGTAGCCAGAGGTAGCAGATGCAAGGCAAAACCATTGCATCGGCTTTGTTACTAAATATTTGTATTATTGCCCTCCAGTGTTTTCTCATTGTGCTCAACGAATCTGTCCTCTTTTAAAAAAAAAAAACCTGATCGAGGAGAGTAAAAGAAACCACACTCTTGAGTGCGAGAGAAGAAAACCACATAGCTAGCTAGGTAAAATAAATATCTGTTTCTCTAGCTTTTAAAACAAACAAATAAAAAAAAAACCCACATGCGTATTTAAAACTCTCATTTTCCAGGCCAGCAAGTTTTCACAGGGAAGCATTTAAGTGGAGCAAAGGGAGAGGGGAAATGGGCTTCCTCTTCGGTCAGAAGCACCACATAGCAGATGCCCACGTGGGCCCAGAGGGTGACCCCAGGGCACAGATGGATCATCTCCACTCACAGAGAACTTACAGTCTAGGGAGGAGAGACAGACCATCAAAATTTAGGCAAATGAGGATTTCAGGAACAAGGAACTGTGTAAGTGTGTTGGTTAGCAAAGACCTGAAGTCAGCATCTTTTTCTGATTTACATTTTGAAAGTCTCTGGCTGCTCAATGAGAAGAGATTGGAAAGGGGTTTGAACTAGGCTGGTATCCGTGCAGATGGAGGCAAGTGGGGGAGGGGAGAATGGAAGGCTCTTGGTCATGGGTGGGGCAAGAGAGGATGGTGTGGCAGGTGAGGGCCAGCACCTCCCCCCCACCCCCCGCTTGAGCAAATGGTTGGAAGAGATGCTCTTCATGAAGGTAGAATGGAGAAGGAATGCTTTGGGAGCACGAGGGAATCAAGGATTCTCTTTTAGACACGGTGCATTTGCAATTTCTGCCAAATAGCCGAGAAAAAGGAAAACCTTGAATGCATTTGCAAAATGAGTCCAGGAAAGAGGTCAGAGTGAGTTCTAAGTGTGGAAGTTGCTGGCACCTGGGGGCTATCTGAAGCCATCGGGAGTGGGTGAGCTCATGGGGCGGGGGGGGGGGGGGGGGGGGGCGCTGAGGGTGGAGCAAAGGAGAAAAACGTGATCCAGGACTAGCCCTGAGATACACCAGGCCTTTAAAGGATCTGGTAGAGGATGTGGAACTGACAGATGAGCCTGAGCAGGAATGGCTAAAGGCAGTTAATTTGCAAGGAGGGGAAAATCATTATTTCATGGTCACAGACCACACAGCCCTGGCTAGCAACTCTCAGCCACAACCCCCCCATTGGCTCCAAGGAAGCCTTCACTCGTGCTAGAAAAGAAATCCACTGCACGCATGTCTTCCCTGCCCAGGGGGAGAGAGAGCTTCAGCCTCCCTTTCCAAGATGACTGAGCTGGATATAACCCAAAGAAGAAAACGAAAGGAGGAAGTGGCTTCTGTGTTTCTAGAACAGGGTTTGCAGTTCCTCTGGGGCAACTGGGAGAGCCTCAGAAGTCAGCTTCTCTGTCCTGGTTGAGACTTGTTACTGGTAAATGGGGAGCGACCTTGTTGGCCGTGGCCTTGCTTTTCACACTTTCTCTTGTGGGAGGTTCAAGGGCTACTACATGAAAAAAATTTTTCCCTTGTCTTTATGTTTGAAAGCAAATGGAACATTGAGGTTTAATGAGCAGAGGAGCTTCAAAGAGGTGCAAAGTTTCAAGTCCAGGCTTGGAGAGAGGAGCACGAAGGATTTTTACTCCTCTTCTTCTGGTTCTGGTGATTTCAGAGTGTACAGTGTTTCCATCGAATAGACATTGTAGTAAATCCCAGATGGGTGTTGGGAGACTGTCACCTCCTAATAGATTAAACACAGAATAACCTTTGAACTTTAGGTAAGTTTCTGAAATCACATTATTTACCGGGGATCTGAAATTTGGGGGGTATCCCTTCCTGTATAAATCAGGTTTATTTATTGAGATCCATATTGTAACTTCTGCAACGGAAGATGGTCCCTGGTCTTAATGTGGTAACAGTAACTACATGTGTGCCATTTATTTTGATACAAACTATTTAATGTGGATTAACCCATACACTCTTCTGCAAACCTTTAGGAATAGAAATGAGTATGACTGATGAAAATATGAAACGGCTTGGAAACCTTCACAAGTTGGCCGTTTGTCACGCTTTTTCGCTTTCCTTTTCTTTCCCAGAATACATTTCAGCTCTTCTGCAGTTTCAGTTCATGTTTCAGATGTTTAAATACCGACAGTTATGAGGGCACAGCTTCTGGTTCAGTGAAGGCGTTCTTTCAGGGCGTGCGGCCCTTGTATTAATGAACAGCATCCTGGTCAGTAGGAACCACTTGGCACTACCTGGAATATATCCCGTGAGCTACTCTGGCCCAAGCATCAGATCGAACATGACAGTCCCATGGAGGGAGTGTCCCTTCTTAGACACCCTCCCAGCCTGGATTTGGAAATAGGTGCCTTTTTCGCTTTCTGCCGCTAGCCTGTCCAAACTAGAAATAATTGTATATCGCTAATGCCCTGACTCCTTCCTACCTATCTGTATTTTTAGTCTTTTTATCTTCCTTTACTAAATGACTGCTTTCCAACACCCAGACCTGGGCTTATGCACTGGCATACAAGAGGCAACAGCTGGGCCTGGACCCATAGTGGGGATAGAGACCCCCAAAACTCCAGCTCGGAGGACCCAGAAGGGAGGGAGAAAGCACAGTTTGGTGGATTAGCATGCACAAAGTTGGGGGGCGGTGGAAATATAGGGGAAAAACTAAACTTGGTTTGGGGAGTGAACATGTATTGAGCATTTTCACTGACCGGCTGGAAGCTAAGAGCTTCACACAGCATTTCGTACTTAATACATACAACGATTATTACGTGTACCTTACACCTCTGTCAAATTAAGTGATGGTAATTTCAAAAGCAAACTCTAAGCCTCAGCTTTTTCAACGTATGTTATTCATGGAGCACATTTCATTAGCTCATAAATGTGTGGTTATTGCCATAGAATGTATAAACACTTCAAGGGAACCAACAATGGCCATTCATCAGAAATAGCAAGTGACGAGGCACTCTCCACCGAATGAATGTTCTTTTCTAAGACTCAACTTCTGGGAGTTGAAATTTGGGGTGGTTAGGATGACCAAACTGGAAGGGGCGGGCCCATGTCTCAGGAAATTTGACTTTCTGCAGCTGAAGTTTAAAGCAGGGCTTTCCTTGGGACGCCTGGGAGGCTCAGTGAGTTAAGCGTCTGCCTTCAGCTCAGGTCATGATCCTGGGGTCCTGAGATTGAGTCCCGCACTGGGCTCCCTGCTCAGTGGGGAGTCTACTTCTCCCTCTGCCTGGAGCTTCCCCTGCTTGTGCTCTCTCTCTCTCTGGCAAATAAGTAAATAAAATCTTAAAATAAATAAATAAAGCAGGGCTCTCCTTTTGATTTGCTTCCATGAATTTGCTACTTGACTCAGTGTGGCTTTGCTATTTATCCTTCTTACATTTAAAGGGGTTTCTTTAAATTGTTCTTGATGACTGGTGCCCAGAGGACAGTTGTGGAGTTGATTTTATATTTTTGGTGTATTTATTATAAAACTCAACTGGGGGGAAATTGCATCAAAACTCACTGCCTTGTGAGATGTGCCATTCTTATAATCAGAAAAAGTTATATTTGGAAAGGTTGTCACCTTCAACTGCTAAACAAAGTACTGAGTGTATAGCAGAAGGTATAAAATACTTGAGTTGCCAGAGACCTTAAAGATGATGCACAACAACCTATTCTTTTCAGAAAGAGAGAACCTGGGGCGCCTGGGTGGCTCAGTTGGTTAAGCGTCTGCCTTGGGCTCAGGTCATGATCTCGGGGTCCTGGGATGGAGCCCTGCATCAGCCTCCTTGCTCAGTGAGGAGCCTGCTTCTCCCTCTGCCTCTTGCTCCCCTTGCTTGTACTCTCTCTGTCAAATAAATAAATGAAATATTTTTTAAAGAAGAAAGAAAGAAAGAAAGAAAGAAAGAAAGAAAGAAAGAAAGAAAGCAAGCAAGCAATGAGAACCTGATGCCCAGAAATGAAGTAAAATTTTTAGTCCTTTTCTGAACAGAAATTAATGTCAGTAGATGGAAGGCAACCCTATAGTGGGAAAGTGAGAGGAATATCCTCCTTAATATGTTTTTTTTTTTTAATTTGCTTCTTTGTAGTGGCCACAGATGTCTTCAATTCCAAAAACCTGGCCGTGCAGGCACAAAAGAAGATCTTGGGGAAAATGGTGTCCAAATCCATCGCCACCACCCTCATCGATGACACGAGCAGCGAGGTGTTGGATGAGCTCTACCGGGTGACCAAGGAATACACCCAGAACAAGAAGGAGGCAGAGAAGATCATCAAGAACCTCATCAAGACCGTCATCAAGCTGGCCATTCTTTACAGGAATAACCAGTTCAACCAAGACGAGCTGGCGCTGATGGAGAAATTCAAGAAGAAAGTCCACCAGCTGGCCATGACCGTGGTCAGCTTCCATCAGGTGGAGTACACCTTTGACCGGAACGTGCTGTCCCGCCTGCTGAACGAGTGCAGAGAGATGCTCCACCAGATCATCCAGCGCCACCTCACGGCCAAGTCGCATGGACGGGTTAATAACGTCTTTGACCATTTTTCCGATTGTGATTTTTTAGCTGCCTTATATAACCCCTTTGGGAATTTTAAGCCCCACTTACAAAAACTCTGCGATGGTGTCAACAAAATGCTGGACGAGGAGAACATCTGACCATGTGAATTAAGACTGCAACCGCTCGTGATTTCTTTGAAAATGGAGCACTGCTGATTTATGAAGGAAAAACAAATTTTTTTTTTTAAGATGACCCATGTTTCAGAAAGACTTTTGCTCGCCTCAGGCGTCAGACGTTGTCAGTAACGTTTTGTGCAGCTTGTTTTATTTGAAGAAAAGCAGATTGCCAAAAATTCTGGTGAAAAGCTCCCTCCCTCACAGTTAGCAGATCGTAGGAAAGGTGTCTGGTTGTGTGATGCAAATAATAGAGTTATGCAAAGAAAAATATGGATGTCTCCAAACCTCAAGACATGTTTTTTTAGATCAGTTGTTGTGTTGGTAGCACATTGGGTATTTCTCACGTGTACAGAGTTGTGTACTTTGATTCACTATTATTCCTTACTGTGTATATGTACCTCTGTTAAAAAGCTGAGAACTCTCTCTTGCTCTCATTGCTCCCTTTGAGATGATTTCATTTTCAAGTCTACCTTTTGTTCTGTGTTCCTTTGTTAAAGTTTTTGTCACTGACATTTAAGAATTAAGTCTTCATCGAGAATTAAGACGTTCAAGAATTGAGGCGGTCAGATTGAACCCTCAGAAAAACAGAAAACTGCTTCTTTGAAGTCAGTATTGTAGGAACCAACTATATTTGATATGGTGAACAATGTCTGATAGACGGACATGCTTCGGGCCTGGAGTCCTGTTTTTTAGTACCAACGGTGATACTTCGCAAAAGCGGTAATTGTTGAAAATGTGCTAGTGGAATCTCCGGTTTTAGTATCTGTTTCAGATGTAAGAGAGACAAAGAAAAATCTAGATGGTTCTTGTTAAAGGTCAGCAATACTGAGAAAAGAACAACCATCTTTATTTTAGAGATGAGCCCATCAAAATAATTTAGGGGGATAAAGGACCAAAAAGGAAGAAAGCATATTGCTGTGGGCCGTGAGAATGAAAATAAATGCATTTCAACGTTGAATAAGGTTTGATAGGTAAATAAAGAATGTCACTTTTTTATTTAACTGATAAGGTCTTTACTATTTTGTTATTTGCTATTTTGATGAGTAAACCAAAGAATATTTGCATTCTAAGCACTTTGTGTGTTGTCTCTATGTAATTTTATGTGTGTGGATGATAAAGGAAACATCTTATTTTATAAAAAAAAATAAACAAACAAAAACCTGCCGGCTAACTATCAGGAATTAACAGACTTAACTACCAGCCCCAAATATTTGCACTGTCTCTGTGTCCATGATTTATAGTGTACTCGTTTGCCTTGAATTTGCCTGCCTCCCAGAAGATTGACATTAAAATAGGACTTCACCAGGGAAGGCCCTACAACTTAAAAATTCCAGAGGTTGTGATCCGCTTTAACCCACCCCACCCTAAAGGAGGTGATCAGTTTCCCTGGGTCCGTCATGTGCTTGTCCCAGACAAGCAGCAGAGACCAGAGTGTCTCCCCGTTTTATATAAAATCCTCAACCCCCAGATTCGAACTGAAATTACCATTCTCACTTCCCAGAGTGGGCAGGTGACTCTTTTTTGTTTGTTTGTTTAATATTTTATTTATTTGACAGAGACACAGCAAGAGAGGGAACACAAGCAGGGGGAGTGGGTAAGGGAGAAGCAGGCTTCCTGCGGAGCAGGGAGCCCGACGTGGGGCTCGATCCCAGGACCCTGGGATCATGACCTGAGCCGAAGGCAGACGCTTAATGACTGAGCCACCCAGGCACCCGGGCAGGTGACTCTTATATGTTGTAGCAAGAGCATAGTTTCATATCCTGCTAAGCTGCTTATTAAGTTTAGTTCAGCGGAGGTATGCAAAATAGATTCCCAGGCCAGTAGGTGGGTGCTTCTTGCTCCTCTCTAGCTATGGACAGGACCAGCTAGAGAGAGAGGGAACCTGAGGATAAATTTTGATCAGGCTGGGCACATTTGGATCATAGAGTTGTGCCTGCAGGCTAGCAATCAAATATTTATAAGGGAGAGAGAGCAACCCCTAATCTCACACAGAAGGAAGGCCGTGAGGACTATCCAGAAGGGGGGAGTCTTGTTTTTAAATTGATTTTTAAAACTCATGCCGATGGCTTTTCTGCAAACATTAGGAGTTACTACAACAGGTGAGTGATAATACTGGTGTTAACAGCCGACACAGAGTGGTTATTAAGTGCCAGACACATTAACTCATTTATTCCCTACCATGACATTTACTGTTTTACACATGAGGGAACTAAGGCAAGAGAAGTTAAGGAATGTGCCCAAGGTCACAGAGCTATTAAGTGTCAAAATCAGGGTATCAATAAAACCCTATTTTCATTTAAATATAGTATGGATGGGGCATCTGGGTGGCTCAGTCTGTTAATCATCTGCCTTCAGCTCAGGTCACGGTCCCGGGGTCCTGGGATCAAGCCCGCCTTGGGCTCCCTGCTCAGTGGGGAGCCTGCTTCTCCTTCTCACTCTGCTCCCCCACCCCCTGCTGATGCTCTCTCTCTCTCACTCTCAAATAAATAAAATCTTTAAATAAATAACTGTGGTATGGATAAAGGCCATTCTAGAAACATCATTGCTTCAGACCACAGGGGCGATGTGCTTCTGAAATGGTTTTTCACGTAGTGACATTTGAGATGGTATTTAAATCATACAGGTCTGACCTATTCTCTGAAGATCTGGGTATGATTTGATACAGAGACATTTTACGAACTTTTGAACACAGCTTCTAATTTGGGGACATCTCGTGGCTCGAATGTCAGACCCCTCCAGAACTTCAATTCAAGGTGCTCACAACCAGCGATGACTTTGAACCCTGATCCATGGGGCACAGTGTGTTCCTTCCCCCGCAGGCAGTCCTTCCACAGATGAGAAAGGCACTTTATGTGCCCACAACCAAGAGAGAAGTGGCCTTCACCATTGTGTTCCCCAGAAAAGGTATGGCTTCACTTTGAAACTTTACCATTATTTGCCAGGTTTAGAGGCTAGAAATATCTGAGCAAGTCACTTTTTAAAATAGGCTTGTGTTTTTCTGATTCTTAGACTGTCCATATACAACTCAAAATGAGTTTAAAAGAGGAACCAGTGTTAGGAACTTTATTGGTACAGAAATAAGTCTTTTTTTTTTTTTTTTTTTTTGGTCTTATAGGACAATGTCTCATTCACAATTACATGGAAAATTCTGTTTTCCCACCGTGTAAATACTTGAAAATACGAAAGGCTTAAGCTTTCTGATTCCTGTAAAGGGTTAAAATGGTATTTTGTAGTCTGTACATACCAATTGGATATATACTGAGAATTAATTTATCCTTGAGATCCCTGATGAGAGCACCTAATTATAATTTAGCATACTGATCTTGACAGATAATAAAAGATGAATATATCCATTTGATGAAATATTTGTAGTAAAGAGTTAAGTGCTACGTAATTCTAGGAAATTAAAATATTCTTTTTTAAAAGAAAGATTATATTTATTTGACAGAGAGCGAGCAAGAGAGCGCACAAGCAGGGGGAGCAGCAGAGGGAGAGGGAGAAGCAGACTCCCTGCCAAGCAGGGACCCCGATGCAGGGCTCGATCCCAGGACCCTGGGATCATGACCTGAGCCAAAGGCAGACACTTAACCAACTGAGCCACCCAGGCACCCCCAAATTAAAATATTCTAATAAAACAAACTTAATTAGTATGTTAAGAATATTTTGACATTTTTAGTCAATCTTGCATTTCCAAACTTGCATTACCTAAACTAGTTGAATTTGGCCGTGTTTGAAAAATCACTGTTTTCCTTGATATATTGCATTCCTGGGACTAAAGCTTCTCTGTAATTTGTTAAACTCCAAGCAGGTTTTAGCAGTCCGTGCTGTTTATGGGAGATAAACTTTTATCCAAGCTCTGAAATAGTTTTCCGTATGATGATTCAGATAAAGTCTTTATAGAAACCCCCTAATGAAAACACTGAGGTACTAACCAGAAAAATGAGTCAACTTTTTGTTTCCAAAATGAAACAACAGGAAAATCCTCAGGAGCTTATAATCGCATATCACTATCATGGCAAACGATTATAAATCTGTTTTCTCTTTTACTGAAGTGTCCTTGTGGTTGCTATGTATTCCCAGAGCCAGAAAAACTCTTATCACAGGGAATTTCCCAAAATGGAAACATTTTTCGTGTAAGCGGCCAAAGATGTGTTTTTGTGTCTGTCTCGCCAAAGATGTGTTTTCCATCCAAGCAGTGAACATCAACCCCCAAGTTAGAGGGGACAAGACACCAAAAACGTCCCGTCTGCTGAGCCCTGAAAAGGATTCAGACAAGTCAGCCAGCGTTCACAGTTAAGAGAAAAACATCTGTGCTTTGGAAAATGTTAAGAACAGAGACGTGTTCTGTATGTCCACCAAATTTCCAAGAGATCTTTGTCGGAGGAGGCAGCCAATGGATAAGACCCCCTTCCTTTTCCTTCATGGTTGCCTGAAGAAATTCTCTGCCAGCTTCCCTAATAGCTACAAAACTATCTTGGCCTCACGGAGATGAGGTGCTGATCAGGCACTTGGGGTTTGTTCTGTTTTGTTTTGTTTTAATTCCAGTATAGTTAACATACAGTGTTACATTAGTTTCAGGTATGCAATATAGTGACTTAACGGTTCTATACATTATTCAGTGTTCCATCAAGACAAGTGCACGCCTTAATCCCATGACCTAGCTCACTCATCCCCCCACCCCTCTCCCCTCTGGTCACCATCAGTGTGTTCTCTGTAGTTAGAGTCTGTTTTTTGGTACTTGGGGTCGGTTCTTAACACAAGGAAAGCACATGTGATTTTTAAAAGTATGTGTTTGATTCACAGAACAACCTAAGACAATGTGCTTCTCTATACTTTGGTTTTTCCATTTAAAAGCTTACAGATGGATTAATTAAGTCATTTAAACCTGCCTGATGTGAGGTTTAGTTCAAGGCATGGAAGTGAAAACTCCGAGTGTGCATACTTGGATTGTCACCAGTATCTGGGATGATTGATTGATGTTTCAGGAGAAATCCAGGTTCCATTTTCCCAGAAATGGGCTGTTAGGAGCCCAGCAAGACCCACCACTCAACCAACTTAAGTGACTGCTCAGATCTCTTACTGCTCTTTTCTAAGACCACTTGTGTTCACTAAAGGATAAATACTTGCAAAGCAAATGATACATTTTTGTAAGACATTTAGTGTCCTGGAAGAGGACTTGATAATTAAATTGCCGCTCTTACTGCTGTTCCCTAATCATGCAGACTTTGCGTTGTCTTGACTGAGGAGTCTCATTTTTAGCTTGCTGAAAATATTCACTGAACTTGCAGTGAAATCCATGAGTGGAAATGTTTCACAGTATTTTCAAACACCATGGATCAGGAGTTTGGCATCTCTTCCTCCTGGGAACTCACTGGTGGGTGGTCAGATAGAACCCTGCGGGCTACCACAGAGGGCATAGGCAGCTGAAACCAGTGTTTCAACTTGTCTGCCGGTGGGGAGGGGGCCCTCTCCCGCCTTATCTACACTTTGAATAAGATCAACTACCTCACATTCTCATTTTAAGGATAAAATTAAGACATGGTGGGCTTTGAAACCTGAAGGCTGTCCCTTGGTGAGGTATTGTTTATCAATGGCTTGTCACGACTTTCCAAACAAGCAATGAAAATAAGCCTGGAGACTTCAATAAATTAAACAAAGATTTCCACAGCCCAAGAGAATTTTTATTAATTTCTGGGTTTCCTTAATAAATCTCTTTTTGCGTTCAATTTAGGAAAATTCTTTTGGGTTGAGTTGTTGGACGTAATGGTTTCCGGCAGTTACTTAGATCTGGTCTCTTAGCCAATTAAATTCTGAATCTCTTCAATTATTTGATCATGCCTGCTGGCTTTAGTTTTCTATTGCTGCATAACGGGCCACCCCAAAATTTGGTGGTTTAAGACAACAACCATTTTTTTTCCTCCCATGATTCTGTGGGTTGACTGGGCTTAACAGAGCAGTTGGGGTCTTATCATGGTTGTAGTCAGACCGTGGATTGAACTGGAGTT